CTGTATGATTTGATTGAATTGTCCCTGTAAATTGGCTTGAGTAAATTGGCGGTATATAAATAAACTCAACTGAATTCAATAAATTATGATCCATCTATTAAAAATGAGGAAACTCCTATTGGAAGATAACCTTTATTGGAGACTTAAACTGCATTAGTGGCTAAAGTGGCTACAACTCTGTTGGGTATAACCTGATACAGGCGTTCTACATGCCATTCGGGTAAAAAAAAAAAAAGGAAAAAACAGAAACAAATGAGGCAGGAAGAATTGTTGCAAGGAGTAAACAAAGGGAGGACACCATGAAAGAAATAGGGAAGGAAACAAGAAAGAAAAGTAGGATGAGATGAAGAAATTGAGGTAGGACACAGAAAAGGAAAAAAAGAGAGAAAGGAAGCAAAGAGGAAGGGACATCTGGAAAGGAGGAAGGGGCACAAATGAGAATGAAAGCAAACAAAGGCAGATATAACAAGAAAATGAAAGAAATACATATGAAGGAAGAAAGAGAGGTTAAAAACTTGTAAGGAAAGGGCACAAGACATAAAATCTCAAAGAAATATTGTGATAATTTTATATTTGAAATAATTTTTTTTTATGTCTATTCTTTTTATTCAAATCCAAACCTGAAAGATGTTTAAACTACTACAAGACCTTTTCTTGCTTTTCTTGACGGTGTTAGAACCCCTGAGCTAATTGGTATTAAACGTCCACCAGCCAACGGTTTTACTTTGTACGCCCAAAAAAAGTTGGGAACATCCAAGACCACCAATTTGCAAAATAACAAATGGAGAACCAAAAAAAAAGAAACTACCTCTTCAAGAACTTGACCTTGTTCAAACAACTACGAATAAACACGTACAGCATTGAGTAAAAACTAACAAGTTCAGTGGAGATTTTACAAGTAAAACTTTATTGGAATGATACTCATGTTGCAAAATATTACACATGGTGTTTTATGTCACCGTTCCCGTGAGTCTAGATGCTTCCCTTCGCAAGAGCGTTTAGTGTGTGTACGTGTGGCAGGGATAGGTATGGTTTACACTGGCTGGGGAAGAGGGAGGTCTCATTTCCCTAAAAAGTGCAACAATAGGCTCTTATGTACCAGCATTGTGTCTGCAATGACAAGAAGTTGTGTCTGCGACAGTGTGTCAGGGATGCTGCATACTTAACCTGACATGAAGGAACAATCTGAGGATGTAAGTACCAGAAGGCTGGCCGTTGATCTTCAGATTTATCAAGAAAAAGCACAAAAACCAACAAAAAAAAAAAGGTTCCAGGAGACTGAAGGTTACAAGGTATGAGAACAATTTTTAACTCAAACTAGAAGCCTTGCATCAAAAATTAAAGAAGCCCCAGATTTATTGTGGAAATGAGTTTCCTACTATTCAACAAACCGTGATGCATAAAAATAAACCGCAGTGAAGTGCATCATTCAGCTATCCCATAACTAGGATTGAGATTTTAGTCTTTCCATAAAAGATGAATCATGAGGTAACGATGTTACAGTCTGCAAACATCTGACACACTTATTCTGGTGGTTCTGTTAATACTTTATTAATACTAATAATAATGCAAACCAAAACTTATTTGACTAGGAATTTCACATTAACATCAGCAGATGCACTAAAATGACCATTTATGTGTTAAATGATGGACAAGACTGTGGACAAATACACTTTTATTGCCCCCTGGTAAACAAGTGTTCAAAAAAAAATCCCACTTATATAATAATCTAAAGTTTTATTTGAATATTGTTCAAATATTCAAATAGGGGGGGTGGGACAACAGCAAATTGACATAATAGACTTTCTGTGACACAGAACGCCACCTGTAAATGCAGATCTGTGGCCTTTCAGAGCAGTGCAAACAGAAAGCTCACAAAGATACTCTAAAAGACTTTTAGGCTTCCTGACTAAAGTACTGTACACTGACCTGAAAAATCATTAATCCATCTCAAATTAATAACAATATTTGAGTCAAAGGTTAAGCAGAGATGCTTTAAATTTAAAATACAAATCAAATGGAATGTAAACTTTTGGGGTTTAATTTTTAGGAGTTTACAGCTCTGTGGTTCAGGCTGTCATGGCTTCTAGGCGACGGAAGGTACCACCACCTTCTGGAATGGAGGTGTAGCGCAGTTTCCTTAACAACCTCTCCATAAGCCATTAGCCTTATTTCAAAAACATCTGCTGCCTTTGAAATGTCTAAAAAAAAAACAACTAGATATTATTATTTCAAGACCTTCGATGGAAAATATGAATAAGAATGGGTGAAGTCTTCTCACTGTGAATGCTGCTGTGGTATACAACTGGGGCAAAAACTAATTATTTCTTCACATAGGATCTAATTCCGTAGCGGGTATATTTATTTATCAGTTTTTTTCAAACATCTTTACCAGGGATGGCAACATATTTGTCCAAATATATGTCAGTTGTCTTAGATTAATTGAGAGTCCTAACCACACTTCCACTGTATCAGCATGATAAAGTGCTACAACCTACAGTTTCTCTGTATTTAATCCAAATGACTGCAGTTTAAATCTGGGGCTGTATGCAGACAGAGGCAATCTTTAGAGACACATGTGGTTGACGATAAAACAAATCCTTTTTTTTTGTGAACCTGAATAGTCCACCGGTGTAATTCCTTCATGTTAGGTCATTTCAAACATCACTCAAATTTACAAATGATGCACATAGACTATTAAACTTTGCAAATATGTGTTTAAACCAAAGGCCTATTTTGTTTTCCCGTTTCTGATATCATTTGACGAATTTGCGATTCATAACATAAAAATACGATGAGAGGAATTCTTTGTGTCAGTCTAAAGTATTTCACATCCCCGATAAGCGGATAATATCATATTACAGCCTCATTTCATCTTACAGCTGACACTAATGATTAAATCCTTTCTGGTCATAATGCTCTGCTTTCAAACTGTTCCAAGCAAAGAGAACCCCGAACACCTGAGGTCATTGACTTCAAATCATCAGATTGTTTACTCTGCACAAAAAATACATTTTAACAAGCTATAGCAAGAGAAACAATCATCAAACATTGTTCTTCTCTGTAAACGCATTTCTAGAGGGGCTACTGATCACAAATTAAAGTTGGATGTTTGTAACAACCCAAGTAATTCAAGCTCACAAAGAGATCAATGCAAATTGCACAGTCTTCAAATTATTTGTTATAAAGTAGAAGGAAAAAGGCAACGAATGAAAACATATAAAGAAAAATCGCAGCTGATTTAGTTGATGCCCTAAGGTTTGTCTTTCTGATGACCCTGACCCTAATTTCAAGACACTTATTATTACCAAACACACTTAGAGACTGGTTCTTTGCATTTTTTCTGACAAAGGATTGAAAAGCATGATCAGAAAAGTTGTCTAAAAGCAAATAACCAATCCTAAATCACGTCTGTGATCATTTAAAATCAGTAAATCCAATGTTTGTTTTTGCTTTTTAACTTAACCACAAGGGCTTTTTTGCAGATTCACTGCGCAAGACTCGACTGCTGAAGGAAAAGCAGAATATTTGGACAAACCACTGAAATGCTGGGGGAATGGTAGCATTTCTAAGAAGTAATGTACCCAAACCTCTTAATAATAACCCCTGTCATGATATTGCATATTTGCTTTTTTGTTTTAATAGAGGTCATGTTTAAATTCTTAATAATGCTCCTGTTTCTCCTCCCTACACATTTAACACTGGAGCATACACAAATGAATCATATGAGCTAAAAAATTGCCACATTAGCAGCACGTCATGAATGCTCCACATTTATAGATGGCGCTGCTACAATATTAACTCAGCTTTAGTTTTTACTGTCTGATTAATCAAACTAATACCTATTTTAACATTTAGAGGCACTCAGAGCAATAAAAGTTCATTCCCAGAGGGCCAGTTGATCATTCTTATAAAAAAAAAAAAAGAAATTAAACAATAAATTTGGAAAAAGTTACATAGCTGGTCATGGGACAGCAGTACAGGGAATTACGGCCCATTGATCTCCACCACAAGCTCAAAAAGAAAGAGCAAAAATACTTCAAAGACATGACATGACCTGAGGTTTTGCACGACAAGCTCACGTTTCCTCAAATTTTCAAAGATATCAGCTTATGCTGCAAAGTAGGAAAAAGAAAGCCATGGGAAAACTTGTGGTACAGAAAGAAATTAGAAAAAGGCAGAAATCTACCAGATTGTCTCAACCAACCACTTGACTTGAGCATAATCTAAAAACTGCAGAGCAGAGAAAACTTTCCAAGAAGAGTTGAAGAAAAGTTTCCATCAAAGAAGCCTTCAAATTCCATCAGAGAAATGCGACAGAGACGTCTTAAAATTGTCATCAGTGTCTAAAGCTTTTCCTCTTAATGTTTAATACATTTCAGCTGGATTACAGAGAACCTAATTTATAGACTGCATTGCTTTGATTTCTTTTTATGTGCAGATTATTTGGGTTGTTAGCAGCCTCTGGTGTGAGTATTACAGCCATAGCCTGAATGGAAACAAATTTACTCAGGAAAGATGTGTTCAACACTTTTTTTCCCTGCTGTATTATCACCTTGCGGTGTTTCACCCACCTCCAACCTGTTAATTACAGTACCAATCCTTTTTTTGACCATCAATACACACAAATAAAAAGAAACTTAGCAAAAGTAGGGTGTGATCTAAACCACAGAATGATAATAGAGTGGTGCCGTCCTCCTCTGTGATATGAACAAACAGTGACGGTCAAGATGAAGCACGCGATCCTGACCGCCGTCCGCACACATCGAAGCGCTGACGACCCTCAGCCAGAAGCAGTCAGAGGTCTTCTGCCTCACAGGGTCTCTAAAAGTTAGGGGAGGTGGGGGGTGGGGGACGCGAGCGGTTGTTTCAATTCCCGTGGAATACATGAGCTCTGAAACAGGAAGTACTTTTATCAAAAACCGACCGAATATTCTGGAAGGGATAAGTGTGGAAGACGCCAACTAAAACTCCGAAAATAGTCCCTTTTCTTTTTCCCTTTTGATTTTCTTTTTAAACCAGAACTTCAAATTCTCAAATCTATAATCCGAGATTCACCTGCTGATCCTTAGACGTTTATGGAGATAATTGCCTGTTAAGTGATATGTTCAAACCTGAGTTTCCATTATGTGGTCGGTTTTTCTCCCACACCGTTAAAACTGAGAGAAATCCTCTTTTTTGATTCATATTTCATTGTATGTCAGCGTGATATGATTTCACTGGAGCCACTAAGTACTTACTAACATTTAAAAATGGAGTACGGCAGATATGTACAAAGTTTTTATATATATATTAACAATAATAAGAGCCGTAGATGGAGTTGCACAATAGATGTACCTGATTTTTTTTTTTTGTGTCGTCTCTCTTTTAGCCCCTATCGCCTTCTAAATGTTTTCTCTATGAGATGGACGGGAGAAATTAAGAAGCATACAACATGAGGGCATTGATGTGTAGGCATGGTGAATCCTGCTCGGTATAAACCCATGGCGTCTTTAGCGCACGCTCATGTGACGAATGGTGCGCTGATTGGTCGACGTTTCTTTGCTGTGGCGCGAAAAAAGAACAGGAAGGGAATGACTGCAGAGGAGGGAAGATCTGGGGTGAAAATGCGTAGAGGCAACTCTAAGTTAGCGGCGTCCCCCGACACCCATGAAACACAGCGTCATTATAAAGGGATTCATAAATAAGACGACATCAAACTAAATACAACAGAAACGCAACAGAAAAGGCAACACTGCTGGTTATCGGTCTGCTATCTTCTTTTCACACCTCTATGTGATTTTTCCCTTTTTTCGTAGCTGGCGCCCATATTTGGACAGGAGACAGGACGCTTTTCTTCTCTCCTGTTTGACCAGCCTACCTTAGACTTTCCCTATTTCATTCTTTTTTCTGCTTTAACGCTAGAACTCAGCAAACTCCTTGGCACATTTCTCGCTAAAGGAGACCCGGATCTCCTCCTCTTCGTAGTCGTCAAAGTTGCTGGTATCGCCCGGTCCTTTGAACTTCGGAACAAAAGGAGCTTCCACCTAAAACGGACCAAAGCCGTTAAAAAGGCGCCAACTCAGAATCAAATCGAAGAGTCACAAATGTGTAAAAATCGAAATATAATAAACCTGCAGACCTTTTTCTGGTAAATGGCGATCCAGTCAGTCGTTGCAAACCACTTATGTCCTTTAATGTCGTTGACTCCGTTTTTGAGGTTCCCAAAGCGTTTTGTGAGATCCACCTGAGAAAAAGATCAGCGCATCTTTTCAGATGCTCCTTATTGTAAATTCTGGATTTCTGAGAGGTTTTTTGTACCTGTAAAAGGTTCCTCAGCAGGTCCTTCAGATCAGAGCTGAAGTGAGATGGGAAACGCACCTAAAGAACAAGAAGATGCAAGAAGTTACAGCGTCTCTGTCACAAAACCAATCACGACACAACAGGAATGAGTGGCAGCTTTATAAGTTAACCAAAAAATGTAAAACATTTAAAAAAAGGACATCTAAGTTGGTCGATTTTTCTTAAAATAAGAAAAATTTTCACGAATTAAGCAGGTAAGTGAGACACTTTGTCAATGGAATAAGAGAGTGCATCAAGTGCATATTATCCATTTATCTTATTTCTAAAAGTAGAAAATACTCATTCCATTGGTAGAGCTTCTTATTTACCTACTCAAGTTATGGGTAAATTACATTTCTATAGTTTTTGCAGTAAATTGGACACCAATCAACTGGTTTTAACAATGAGAGGAAAGGTTACAGTTTAAAGACGAAGCCTTGTTGTCTGAAGCTTTTATATCACATTCAAAAACTGATTCTATCATCTAGAGCTTGAGTTCTCAAAGTGGGAGTCCAAAACCCCTTGAGGGTCACAAGCAGAATTGTCAACTAACCAGTGTTGTGCCTGAACGCGTTCATTGAACGAAAGTTCATGAACTCGTTCATATTTTGGGCGAACGTGAACTGAACGTACTGCATTACTGCCTGATGAACGTTATTGTGAACTCGTTCATTCTGGTGTCTGTGAACGCCACGCTCTCTTAGTTCAACTCCGTTCAATAGGTTGCCAAATTTCTAAAGAGCCCTCCAGGCGAAACCCCGGCTAAATCACACCGTAAACAGGCCTTAATATGTAGCAGGAAAAACACCCAATCTGGCAACACCAGCTACCAGTGTCGTAGCCTACAGCCGCGTGTGTCATCAAAACAAAATGCAGCGCGGAAGCCACAGCAGCACGGAGACGACCGTGGAGGCGACAAAGCAGCAGTATGATCACTTAAAACAGGTTTATGACCAGGTGGTCGGTGAGGATGATGGCAACAATCTTACATTTCTCTGCAAACTTTGCCCGTCGGCTTTCAGTAAAAAAAATCCGCACTTAAACCTGCCTGGTATAATTTACCAGGATTCCAGGATTCCTTTTTAGTATGCACTGAAATGAAATTTCAAATGGAAAAAATTATTAAAATTAAAAAAAACATTTGCACCTTAAAGACTACTTTCCTATTTTTCTTTTAATAATTCCTCATAAAAAAGACCATTCAAGCAGCACATTTTCCTGATGTTTTTGAGAATATACTGTAGGGGTGAAAGCTGCAGCTGCTACTAGTGTGAAGTGAATGGACAGCAACAAAGCATTAAAGCAACAATAGGGAAATGCTGTCCCCTCAATGCTAATGTCAACCCTGGTTGGGTAAGGATTCAAAACTGGATATGAACATGAAAACTGTTGCACAGTTTCAGTGTTACAACTGATCAAATAATTGCTGTCTGTGGTTCTACAGTAGGCTATGGTGTAATTGAGCAATATAAAAAAAAAAAAAAAAGAACTATGAACTAGTTCATTTTTTGGAACTGTGAACTTAGTTCAAAATTTTGAATTATGAACTGAACTAGTTCATTTTAAAATGTGTGAACTGAACTTTCCCAACACTGCAAGTAACTAATTTTAAATACTCACTAAGTAGCTTAATATGCACCTAAGTAGCTTATTTTGCTATCTATACTTTATTTGAATATTTACTTTTCTGAGGAATTTTTAATTTCACTCACTACATTTGAACAGTACACAATCTGTACTTTCTACTCCTTACTTTCTTCTTTTATACATATTGATAAAGATATGACATAAAAGCTGCAAAAAAACCCAGAGAAAATCAAGATAATAAAGATGATCTGTCTATTCAGAGCCCAGTTTGTTTATAGAAAAACACAGATAGAGACATGGAAGAAACATTGGATATGAGGGATGAGATCTATCCCCCTTTAGAAGACTTTTAAATTTACATGTTGATTATGTTTCAAATTCTATCTCAGTCTTAATGGTATTTGCAGCCAAACGTAATGAGCTGCTTATGCAGGACTTCTGTTCAGTTCTGTCTTTATTATCCTGTCTGAAATCCTAATTTAGAACAAACTAGCTTAACTCTGTATTATCTGTGTTTTCTCTACCAGCAGAGTGGGCAGAAGTGGAAAAAAAACACTTTTCTGTTCAAAGAAATGTTTTTATTGGAAGAGTTTTTAAGTTATTTTGCACCATTTAGGTGAAAACTTTTACAAATTTGACTTTGAACTGAAGAACACTGTAGAATCTATACTTTTTTTTAAACATTTGCTTAGGTAAAGGATTTCAGTCAGTACTTTTACGAGACTCTTGTTTTTTTTACCAGGTATCTGTACTTTTATTTAAATAAAGAATATGAATACTTTGACACCAAATGAAAGGTAACAAGATTAATATATGAATGACTGCAATGTGACCCCTGCAGTGTATGGAGACCCAAAAGGGGATTTAAATGAATAAAATGAACAGATTGTGAAATAAAGGAAATGTACTATTATTAATTACATTATTAAACTAACACAGTGCTCCTTCCGCCCCTGTTAAGCTTAATTTAAGATGCATTAAATGATTGTTTAGATCAAATATCACTTACTTTTCTTTGTAATTCATGACTTCTCAATGTGCTGATTTCAAGTGGTCTGCTAGCAGATTTCTAATCATGGGGGAGGATGGTTTACAGTAATTATGCTAAATTGAGGTATTGCCAGTTGTTTTAGACTTAGATTTATTTTGTCATTTAGATTTATTTTGTCATTAGATTATTATGTCACAAGTGTAAACAAAAAGAAATTTCGTTAGGAACAGCTCTAGACAATTTCATTTTTTAAAGTGCAGCCTTGATAAGGGGACTAAAGCTGGAGGTCAAATTCCCCTGTTTAATAGAAGTTACACAGCGCCTCTTTAAAGATATAAATATATCCCTAAATTGTAAAATGTATAATTAAATGGTTACATATGCAGCGGGTGAAATAAGTATTGAACACGCCACAATTTTTCTCAGTAAATATATTTCTAGAGGTGGTATTGACATGTCATTTTCATCAGATGTCTGTAACAATCCATGGCATCCATACATAGAAAGAAATCAAACCATGATTGTTGAAAAACTAAGTTATGTGTCATAAAGTGAAATGTCTCAGGGAAAAAGTATTGAACATGTGAAGAAAGGGAGAAAAAAGGTGAAGCTAAAATCTCTCAGTAATTAGAAAGCAATACTGCCCCTTAGTGCAAATTAATATTAGCTGTTTCCATCCCAAATGATGGCCTATAAAAAGGTGTCTCTGGTATCACACAAGAAACACCTCTGCATGTACCATAGTAATTGGTTTATTTAATGTCTCACTTTAAATATAAAGGTTGTTTTTATATATATTATGTATTTCTGTTGTTGAGGGTATTAACAAGATGTATCACATAAGTAAATGTAGAAAAAATTGTTAATAAAGCTAAGATTAATTCTAGAAGCACTAACAGTTTGATGATTGTGTCATCATTAGTGTCCAAAGGATTGTAATTCAATATATTATTATGTAACGGTAAAGGGCTTTTAAAAGTTAAACGACAAACTGGAAATGATGATTTCCATATATAAAAAGTGCCACTCTTATGTGTGATTATGCATTAAAACAGAAATGATCAAAACATTGCATGATTTATTCAAATAAGAGCTTAGAAATTATGCAATATCGAACATTTGGATTTTTTTGCTTCCCAATGTGTGAAACATTCACATAGTGTAGAAGAAATCCCTGCGAATAATTGTTTTATAAAATAAACAAGGGAATTACAGATACCGGTAGTATATCTTTTTTTTAATATGTAAAAAAAAAAGATAAAACTGGCAAAGCCTCTTTTAAGTCAAATAAACCCAATATTTTAAGTGTACGAGCTAAGTGATAAGCGAGTGAAACTCACCTTCCCTGATACAATCTTTTCATAAATCTGAATCGGCTGATCGGCAAAGAAAGGAGGATACCCCGCTGCCATCTCATAGACCAGAACACCCAGCGCCCACCAGTCCACTGCCTTGTTGTATCCCTGCCGGTGGAAACATATCATCAGATTTCTAGGTTATAAGAGGTGCAGCAGCTTAAATATGGACATTTTCCAACTATACTTGCTCTTTCGAGAATCCTTTGCATTGTAGGTCTTGTTAGAAGCATAACAAAAAAACAATCCTCTATCTATTGTCATATTTTAGCTTGAAATGTATCTGGATTAAATGAAGTCAAACTATCAAAGCTCAAGGTTTGTTTAGGGTTAATTGGGTCGGATTTTTTTAGTGTTATTTGGATGTTGAAAAAAAAATGTGTTTCCCTTTAGGTTTTAAGTAAAAAAGGAAACAAAAGAGAGAAGTTAGATCACCTTGCTGAGAATGATCTCTGGAGCCAAATATTCTGGGGTGCCACACAGTGTCCAGGTCCGGCCCTTCACCCGTTTGGCAAAGCCAAAATCTGTAACCTGAGTGGGAAGGAAAGACAGAAAGGATTTTTTAAAAAACACTTTATGGACCACAGCTAACAGAAATAAAATGCAGAGGGAAGAAAATGATGCTGTAATTTCACATATAACCACAAGGTGGTGACACAACCTCTACAGAACGTGATAAACATATTTTGATCTTTTGCAGACTACAGATTCAGGATTTTTTTTTCCTATGTAGAATGGATCATCTTAAAACCCTTTTAATCCCAGTTTTGCTTTATTAGATATCCTTTTGTGTCATGTTGATAAAAAAGGAATTTAGCAAAAAAAGAAAAAAAAAACTGTCCTTTCATCAAGGCCAAAAAACTGCAGTAAAATCTCCCCTCTAAATTTGTATCAGTTTATCTTTTTTCACCAAAATCATTTTGCATTACTTTACAAATAAATTCAGCTCCTTAAGAGACTGGAATAACCAACAGTATGGGAATTAGCTAGTGAGTAAAAAAACTATGATTAATTATTTAAATTAGGGTAGGAGCTGAAAATAGAGTGAAAGAGTCAGAGGTCTGAGTGTAAGCTTAAAGAGCATTAGAAGAAATTCCCAGGAGACAGGCATCTAGAGGGCCGTTTACAGCTACAGCGCAATAATAAATTAAAAAGAACAGATTTTAACTTTAAATTCTTCTCTATATTCCAGATGGAGGCATTTTATAAAAGCAATTATTTTTTTCAGATGAGGGTTAAAGGATTTTTGATTGCTGGACTTTAACCAGTCATACACGTAGAGACAATTATTTGTGGCTTGTTAATTGAATGTTTTTTATTCAAAAATTAAAAAGCCTATTCTACAATTATTTGCCCCCCAAAGAAGACGAATAAAAATCTCTTGAAATACGTCAACCTTCTATGTCAGCTCCTGTATTCTCCTCACAAACAGGAAACGGTTGAATCAGGTTTGCTAACCTGTATGTAGCCCTGTTGGTCTATGAGCAAGTTTTCAGGTTTCAAGTCTCTGTAGATCAGGTCCAAAGCGTGCAGGTACTCGAAGGTCAACACAATCTGAGCAGCATAGAAACGAGCGTGTGGCTCACTGTGGGCACAGAAAAACACATGAAACACCCCAAAAAAATCGTTATGGGAATCACCAGGAGCTACTTCCTGCTGCAAACCCTGATGCTTATAGACACTGACCTGAATCTGCCAATTCTCCGCAGGTGGGAGAACATCTCTCCCCCTGGAACATATTCCATGATCATGTAAAGGTTGGTGTTGTCCTGGATGGAGAAAAATATTATTAGAAACCATCTTTTACACACAAATACAAAAACATACAATAATTTAGTCTGAGGATTAAGCTTGTTCCATTCTAACATGAGTGGGATCTTGCTAATGTTTGCTTTCTAACTCCCTCTTAGGAACTGAAATACACAAAGCGAGGAAATGGTCTGAAAACATGCTACCAGGTTTGAAGGTGAAGTCTGGCCACTGCTCATTTAGTCTCTTTAATGCTCAAAAATGTGATATGAAAGCCTCTTAAGAGTAAAACACAAAACAAAATAAACCAGTCCCTTTTTTTAGACGAATGAAAACTGTTTTAATGATCTCAGAATAAGTTCGGCGGCATTGATTTGTGCTCATTGGTGCCGCTTCCATCTGTGTGCAGAACAGCACACATGGACCGTTAATAGGTTTATTTAAGGCCTCTAGGATACTGACCGCCTGCCCAGCCAGGTGCATCTTAACAGCTTAACCTGAGTAAGGACATAATTGAAGTACGGCCCTCATCTGGGTTAGTGTGCACAGGCACAAAGTGCCGCTGACACCTGTTCATGTGGCGCACGAAGCCAAATTGACTGTATTCTGTGGAAGCAGGGTTTACAGTGAAGAGAGGAGGGATAGAAACAAAAAGAACCTCACAGGAGACCCTGCTGACAAGATGGCAGCAGGGTAAAAAAGATTTTTCTGACATCTTGGTTGTTTAATCTTTAAAATAGCTCAATAAATACTAGAAAATCCAAAATATTCATGCTTAGACAGACATAGATATCAGTAAAAGTAAATTCAATTCTGTGATAAATGGAGGTTATTTGTGGCTAAAAGTGAAGATCAATGGATTTGTGTTCATGGCAGTTTGCAGTTTTGTCAGAGATCTCTAAAGACACACTCTTTGGTGGTGAGCTTGAAGTCTTTAAGGCTTGGATTATCTCCTTTCTATTCTGTCCTTTTTTTTTGCCTCGTGCACAGATTGGATTCAAATCAGGATTAAGTGTTAAAATTATTTTAAGTTGGAAACATCTCTGTGTAAATCACTCAAAGATTGCTAAATCTGAAATATTTTTTACTGATATTTCACATAATTTTCCAATATTTCAAATAGTTCAATTGGAAAGCTGTTGCGTACTGAATAAAAGATCAGTCCGTAAAAATTCAAAAAATATCCACTGGACTTGGTTTCCAAGATTTGAAGACGTTTCGCCACCTCTCCAGGAAGCTTTCTCAATTCAAATGTCTGGATCCGCAGTGAGTTTGAGTCTTATATAGACAACGCCTTGTATCGCTTGGAAACATGCAAATGGGCCATTTGCATGTTTTGAATTGAGAAAGCTTCCTGGAGAGGTGGCGAAACGTCTTCAAATCTTGGAAACACAGTGCAGTGGATATTTTTTTAATTTTTATGGAATGAGTATGACCTGGATGACTGAGAACCTTCATCAGCAATAAAAGATCAGCTAACTTTTACAGAAATTTCAATATTCATCCATTTTCTTCCACTTTATCCGGGGCCGGGTCGCGGAGGCAGCAGTCTAAGCAGAGATGCCCAGACTTCCCGATCCACACACACCTCCTCCTGCTGCTCTGGAGGGACCCAACGGTGACACCAGGCCAGCTCAGAGACCACAAGGCCTCCTCCCAATAGGACATGCCTGGACTACCTCCCCAGGGAGGCAACCAGGAGGCATCTGAAAGAGATGCCCGAGCCACCTCAGCTGGCTCCTTTCAAGGTGGAGGAGCAACGACTCTACTCCAAGCTCCTCCCAGGTAACATTTCAACAATACTAATAAATAAAAATTTAAGCAATTATTGAAATAACTCTGCCTATCATATGTTTATGCAAATATTTAATGATATCTTCAAAAAATAATATCCCTTCATTAAATTATGCAGGGATATAAAAAAAAAAAAAAAAACACCACTTTCGTCTGGTTTGGTCTGCCCGGTTTCCGTAGACTCGTGAACGCGCTTTTAGGAAATCCTATACACTACTGTTTATGCTCTAAAAACATTCTAAATGACTTCGTTTCGAG